AATTCAATTGTTGCCATTTCAATTATAAAAACGTATGCGATCGCGATAATTTCTGATGCTATCAACCAAAATGCAAGCAAATACAGAGCCAATAAACTGCAATCAGTAAAATTATTAAAATACATAATTATTTATTTAATTTCATTTTAATTTAATTACTATTTACCTCCGTCAGTATCAAACACCAGCTGACTATATTGAAACTATTCGTCTTCTCACGCACGTATTCGCCAAATTTCTGCTCACAACCTTCCACATAGAGATTTAGTACATTCCTGCAATCCTGATAGCGACAGCAGCTCGCCGGCGGAACTTTATCCATTTGAAAGTAGTCATTGGCGCTATTTTTTCCACAACAGTGAAGCTAATAGTAAATAGTGAAAGGAAAAAAATAGTGGAATAATTTTTGGTAAAGCAATATTTTCAAAAATCTGTTTGTTTATTATTTTTTGTTATCAAATCTTACCCACTCTTCATAGAAGGATAGCGTTGTATTGATGTTTGTGTAACCTTTATCCCAAAGTTCGTCGAATCCTCGTTGCAGCCCACTTGAGAGACTTCCACTAGCCGCAGTATAACTGATGCTTACAAGGAATATTTGTATTACCAGTAGAATAACTAAAATCACAGCATACTAGAAACAAAAAGATGAGTGAATGGTCAATTTAAGTAAGAAAATAATTATTGGATTATTTTGTTATGCTTTCTTTACTAAGTTTAAATTACTATTTTTTCGAAATAAATTAAAATACGAGTACGTACCGAGATATGTATAACTAAAATTAATAATCATTCAGTGAAACGAGTATAAGGGGCATTCTTTTTCATCCGGACACCAAATTTTTTGCCACACTTTTAATGAATTCTAAAGCTCCTGAGATTGATCAAGTAAAAACATATCATAGGGGGTACAACTCGGGTCAAGTGACCCAACTATGTGAAAAGACTTCGGAGCTCGAAAGGTTATTAAAAGGAAATATACAGCTCCTCATGACTGAAATAATGATATGTCGCTTTTCAAATAACTAATTTTCAAATAACTAAACAATTTTTGGTGGTTTTTAGAAGGACCAACAAAAACCTTTATATGGTGTCGAAATCCTTTCAACATAAGCTTCAAATACTGGACTTCTACAACTTTTTTTTTTGGACCCAGTCTAATGTACGCACGTCCCATTTTCAAATAAACAGAGATTTATTACCTGTTTTGGAATTACCGGAAATGTATGCCCGGTTTTTAATTAACCACACCTGTTACAAAAATCTAAGAACAATAAGAGATGGAGAAATTATCATCAAAAGAATTTGTGTACATTTTTTACATTACGAAAACTTTGTGTTCAGTTTTTAAAAATCGAAAATTTAGGTCCTGTTTTTTTGAATCACCAAATAATATGTACTTTTTTTCATATCCATAAATTTATGTCCAATTTTTAATAGACTTAAATGTATGTATAGTTTAAATTTAATTTTTTTTTGATCAAAAATTATTTTGTAGTTTCATAGTTTATTTTTTTATGCATTAATTCGAACAAACGAAAAAAGATAATAAAAAATGTATTCAGGGTCGAAAATTTGGATGAATATTTTTGCTCGTAAAATAAACAAACAAATAAAATTTCATCTTTTGAAAAAATATTCGTCTACTGATAAAGTCACGATTCTGACCCTTTTTTTGGTCTTATTCGAATTGTTCGCTTTTAGAGACTGCTTTAAATATACATATTCTTTGGCCATTTAAAGCGATCAGCTAGCGCGCTTTTAACGTTTCATGCTTTCATATTTTTTGGAGCACGCTGTAACACTTGTTTAAATAGTATTTCGTATAGCAAATATTGATGCATTATGCATTTACAAAGATTAAAAGAAATATCTATAAATAATTTTAAATTTCGTTTGTTTGTAATGTTTCGCCTTTTTCATATAGAATATTTAACCGATTATTAAGCGGCCCTTTGGTGCAGTGGATAGCACATTGGACTTCTAATCCAAAGGTCGCGGGTTCGATCCCCGCAAGGGCTCAAGTTGAATTAGTTTGTTTTTTTTTTTTTGCTTTTTGCTTAGATATTTTCGAAAGACAAATATATTGCTCTCACAAATGAGACAAAAATGCAAAAAAGAATCGGTACTGTTTTTCCATCTGATTTATAAAATTTAATATATTTGAAATTATTAAGATTTACGTGAGCTGCATTCATTTGGAAACATCTAAAAAACACCGGTTTTTATAAACTAAAGCAGTTTTTAAAAATAGTTCTTTTTAATCACCTCAGATGATAGCAGAATTTAAGCATAAAAATGTTTAAAACTCTTGCCAACGGAATCAAAATAATGATATTCTTGGAGATATTTTCATATATTTCTTCTTCTAATCAGTTACTAATTTGGACCCAAAACAAGTAAATGGCTATTTACATTTAATATTTTGTATCCTAGGCGTGACCAATTGTTCCTTTATGCATATCATTGAAACCATAAATCTGTCCAATGGACCCTTTTATATTAAAAAATAAAAAGAAAGAATTTTCGATCCTCTTAAACTGCGATTGCCCTATTGTAAATCGCCTGCTTAGTAATACAATGCTTTAAGACTAATTTTGGTCTTGTTACAAAACCACTATCCTTATGATTGAAATTTGTAGGCAACCGGCGCCATCTTTCGTCTAGGGTAGTTTCTATTCGATGCTAGTCTGTGTGTCACGGACAAATAGACCGGCTCTTAGTGCCGCTATACTTATATATATATGTACATAAGCAAGTACCCTTAATTCATCTTCAATTTTTAAAATAATTTAATACTTACACTTATCAACATGCTCTTGGATTCCGTGTATGTACCAACACAACCAAAGAATGCCATTACCACTAGAACAGTGCCGAGTACAAGAATAACAGTAGCAATCAAGGCTTCACTGTTATCCACATCAACTTCTTCTCTGTTGCTATATAGCCACGATCCAAACCATATTAAAATTACACCCATCATCTGTGAAAAAGAAGAAGTGAGTGAGTTTATAGTAATTTATTCTAATATGGTACAAAATAAATATTTATGATTCAAATTATCTTGAATTGCTTTCAATTCAATAGTTTAAAATAATTAATTTTTGAGCTTAAAAATTAGTAGGACTCAAATATTTTTATCTGCTTGGCAACATAAGATAGAACCTTCCGTCTGCCTAGATATACCAAATGAAGAGAGAGTTTCAAAGCTATGTATGTATGCAATCATGGTATGTATGTATGTATGTATGTACATATGTACAGAGTAATTTTTCGGTGCAAAATTCTCGAAGAAAGTGTATAGCAAATTCTACGATTAATTCTAAGCAAAAATTGCGAAAAAAAAAACTACTTACCGAAAATGTCAATTGACCCTCCTAACTTTCAAAGCAGTATATTGTAACTTTTTTGGTCGAATTTAATTTTTTTCTGTACCAAAAAAAATTTACAATTGTAATTGGTTTTGTGAAGAAGTTTCTTAAATATAAAGAAAACACAAAATTTTGTAAATGAAAAATTAATTTCGCTCAGAAAAAATTCAAATACACTGGTTTTACTTTTAAAAATTGGGAGGGTCAAACGTTATTTTTGGTATATAGTTTGTTCACCATCTTTTTTAGATTAGAACATAGAATTGGGATGTGCCGTACACTTTTTTGGAAATTAAATTACTCCGCCCTAACGTATGCCCTTAACTTTTTTCCATAAAAAAAGTTCAACTAGCCAAGTAAGTAAGGGGTGATAAGAGATCCAGACTAAGTAAGATATTACGCGAGCTTTGGCCTGACTATAGCAAGAAAAGAACCGCAGATCTTGAGAGTCATCCCATTTTCTTAGAACCGTGGCCATATATTCCATTGAATGGACCACAGAAAAGCATAGGCTCCGTTTGGGTTTCGCAATTTTCAGCGCTTTCATTGCCATCAAAGCCTTCTTGATCTGAAACCTACAACGAATTTTTCGATTTTTGCCCACTTAGGCGGCACTGTGGGCCGCCTTTATCTGGTCCAGGCTATTATCGACTCTAGCGCTCCAAACACGCTGGTTGACTCGGAACTCGTAACAGATCCTTAATTAGAGCGCAACGAGGAAGATACGACAGTTCAACGAAAATTACGATGCAAGCAATCGTGCATACGTCTGGGTCCGTCGTCGAACGTGGACCCGATGATTGCCACTCCCTTCGAATGTATGCGTTTGGCAGACCCTCAGTTCTTCCGCGCCCCACCTGTACGCCTCACCAATGGCGTTTACGTATGGATATGAGGAGACGATGGTGAGCGGGTCTCCCCCATCTACGGTGGGTGGCCTACTAATCCAAGCGACAATATACGGCCTGGTTGTGTCAGGCCAACCATAAAATTGGAAGATATAATGAAGACATACACTCACACACATACATACATATATTTCACACATACACTGTAAAATTTAAATAAAAAGTGCGTTGAAATTTCAAACCATGTCTGTTTCAATTAACAGTATCTTTTCCAACAGCCTAAAGAGGAGCCCGTCATCCATCTGTACTACGCATTTCAAATATTATCAATCGTATTTTTTCTACCAGTATTATAAAAAAATAAACATAATTTATCACTGCTTCAATATAGCAGCCAGTACTGTACACTGATTCTGAAAGCTTATTCTCAGATTAAGTTCACTTGCAAAGCTCCTAGCATGAAGTTTGCGCAAACTTACGAATGTTTGAATATCCGCAAACCATTTTGTGGATTGGGAACTGCAGCGCCTACAATTTGTAGCTTGGTATCTAATGAGAAAGTGGTGACTGCAATGGAATTCTGAATGAAAACCAAAAAATTAAATATATGTAAGAGAAATTCCAAATGAAAGCAATAAAAGCGGATATGATTTTAAACAAAAAAAAAAAAAACAAAACAAGAAATCAAAAATTGTCACATAGCGTAAAGGCATGCGATCGATGTTGGTTGCAATAAGTAAAGGAAAATGAAAATTCATTGTAAAATATTGCGGTTTATTTTTAAAGACACATACACTCACACGCGCACACAATATGACTAATTTATGTCATCAACGACGCTCAGTGCGCCAGCCAATTTGGCAATTTTAATAGGCGAAAAGTGAAAATCTTTCGCATACAAGTGGTGCGATTGAAAAACAAATGTTATGTTTGCATGTATGTATGTATGTACATATATTTGTAACTAAACATAATACAATGCTTTGGCAATTAATTTGCCAAGGAAAAAAACTTTTTGGCAAGCAGTGTATTATTGTTGTACTCGTAGCAGAATTATGTTAAATTTTATTACGTTTTATTTAATAAAAATGTATGATTTCATTAATTTTGTCTCATTTTAATTAAATTTAATAGCGTTTTTTTTGTTACTTAAACTGATTTTTTAATTATTATATGTATATTGTTTTGTCTTATGATCTTGTTTTTGGTTTTAACTAAATAATTTAATTAAAAAAAATTGTATTTTTTGTTTAATTTATTTAACTTTTTAGTATAACTTTTTTATTTATTTTCTTATTTTCTGTTTATGTTATTCACTTTTTATTTTTTTTAATATGTTTTCATTTCTTATATTTTTATATAAAAATTTGACAACCAGAATTCCGCTTAACTTGATATTATTTTCTTTTGATTATTTTCCCTCCTTAAATTGTAATGATTTTAGTTTAGTTTAATTATTATTATTTTTTACTTTCTTATATTTTTATTAAATTAGTTTAGTTTAATTATTTATTTTATTTTGTTTTTGAATTTATTTAGTTTATAAATTTACTTTTAGATATTTTTCACACTTTGATGTTAGTTTCTATTTTATTTTAAAATTTCTCAAATACTCTTTTATGCAAGTTTTCCGATATTTGCTTAAATTTTCACTATTGTAATTATACNTTATTTTATTTTCAAATATCTCAAATACTCTTATGCAAGTTTTCCGATATTTGCTTAAATTTTCACTATTGTAATTATACTCACAGCACAAATCGCATTAAAAGCGAATAAGGTGAATTTCAGACGCTTTTTGGTGCAACGAAACATTTTTTAAACTCGGTTTTCCAAATGCACCAGCCACATGTACAATAATTTCTTAATATATTTTTCTATATTTTTACATTAAAATAATAATAAAATTCAATTCCTATCAAAATAATACTGATCCACTAACACCTTCTATATGCACTCAGTTACGTATGAAAAAAAAATTACACAATAGCTTCTTCCGAATTTCTTTACACCCAAAGAAAAAATCACAAATAAATTCACTAAATTCTGTTTTGTAAACCGGCGCATCCGCCGCCACTTTCGAAGCACGTTCACGTACAAATTTTAAAAACTAAATCGTCAATAAGCAGCAACAAAGCGCCAAAGTGGCCCTGATGATCTGCTCTGGTTTGTGCCATCGTTACCTTTGCAAAGCGATGAGCTCAACGATGACAAAATTTTCGATCTTCATGGCGTGTGGGAAAATTTTTACGAAAGCAAAACAAGAAAACAAAAACACCAACTTTTAATTGCTAATATCTGTTTTTTTTTTTTGGATTTTTCCCCTTTCTTCTTTCGGCGCAAGAATTGCTTTTTGTGTTGTTGGCAGCCTGCAGCTTTTTTATATTCGCCTTCATGCTGTCGAGCTGATCAGCATTAAACATAGACCACCTTTTTCCCGTTGCGTTCGTCAACAGCATCGTCATTACCACTGACCAAGAAAATGCAATAAAAAGTGAAACAAAAACAAAATTAATAAAGAGAATCATAACAAAGTCAAAGCGAAAATATTTATGAAATTTTAAATAGTGACTGATTGCGCCTACGCAGCGAAACTATGTACTATGCATGAATCGACATTAGAGCGCACCACCTTACAAGAAAACAAAACAAAGGTCTTAACTCTGACCTTTATTTTGTGTCGAAAAAAAAAAATTCTTTAATTTTTCGCTGGAACCTATTTGCATACATACATACATTCGGCAATAAAAAGTTTTTTTAATAGTTCAACTGCAATAATCAAAATACTACTTTAGCAGAAGTTTAATGATTTTTTGCGAGATTTAATTTACTGACATTAGAGTGGTACGTTAGGGGGATATGAACTGAGATCTGATGGTTAAGGAATGAGGTATGTATTTGATGACAATGAGTTTGTATTTTGCATTTGTGACATCTAGTTCGACAAAAAAAAATCGAAATCTATATACAAAAATACTTTACATTTGAAGGTGTGCGACGTACTTTCTTTCTGGTACGGTCTAATATACATACACACATATGCTACGTCACACACATGTATTTATATATATATACATTTGTATGGCTATGTTGGCACTGACAGCAACAGAGAGAATGGCAATCGTTTTACTATAGGAAATTGTGTCTGCCCAAAAGACCTTAAAGGCCAATATCAACACGCTTAATTGGATCATAGAATAAAATCGCTGCTTTAATGCCTTAGCGCTGGCATGAATATTGAAGAGATTTTCGAAAACATTCCAATTGATTTATTTATTTTTGAGGCTTTATTTCACTTTGTTTTACTTATAGAAAAAAATTTGAATCCAAGCAGATAAGAAGTAAACAAATTTCCCACTGGGAAAATAGGTAAGCACCTTACGAGGTAAGCCATGTTTTCTTTCAGTTTTTAGTACCAAAATTGTCATCATAGCCAATGTAATCTACTAGTAAAGCACAAAATGAACACCTCCGACGACACATTACGTTGTCAGTTGCACAATAACGTGCCGCCGAAGTTATTTCCAAGCGCCGAACTACTCCGAGCGGCTGCTCTACATTCTACGTAACTTACTTTGTAAAGCGGCTCAGAGGTATGTCTGATACCAAATGTACATTCTGAATTCCTACTTACACAAGGCGGCCACATCTTTGTTGAAGTAGAGGAGATTTGTCAGTGAAGTGGTAAGGACCGCCAAGTGAAGTGTAAGTTGCTGGTAAGGTATTGCTAATCTTATACATATACAGGGCCAGATTAAGGATGTGGGGGGGACCTTGGGCTGGTGAAAATGTGGGGCCCTTCCATAATAGAGAATTAACTGATATATTTGATGTTGATAATACAAATTATTATTTTCAATGCCACGAGCTTGCTTTGCAACAATATCTTTATGTTCAACATCTTCTACTAGCAACGTAGAGAACGTCGAATGTTTATACTAGGGTGGTCTTTAAATGTATGAAGCATATTTTTACAACAGATTTCCTAAACCTCAAACCCTACGTCGATGCTACTAAAATCAAAGCTATCACATATATATTTTGGTCCCGATCGGAGACAGTTAAGGCGGTTCGCATAGGGTGCAAATTTCGATTACCTTATGAAGAATTAAAAAATTTAAATCAAATGTGTATAATAAAAATAAAATACAATAACATGTAAAGAATTCAGTTAAATTTCGAATTAGTAAACTGTAGGATATAGTACCGTGTAGAAAATTGTCTTTGTTTGGCGTTATTTGATGAAAAATTTTCAAATTAAACATAAATGGTTGCAGCCTTAGGAAAAGACGATTACTTTGAAGAAAAAAAGTATAATTTTGTAACTGGCAGTGAAGAAAAGTACTGATCAGTGATCTAGATCAGTTTATAAATAAAAACAGGTTTAGCGTTTTTAATCGGGTTTCCAATAATCAAGAATTTATTTATAAAGACCCAAATTGCGGGCAAGTTATATGACAACTGTTAATAGGATAAAGCATTTAAAAGTGTCAAATAACACGGCAGCGAGAGCAGTCAAGCTTGTAGTAGAGTATAATAAAATTGTATCCAAAAGTGAGAGGACAAACAACACATATTGCAAGTTGTCAAATACTATAGAGAAAAGTCCACTAACACTCCAGAGCAAACTTTATCGGAACCATTTAAGTGTTTAATTATGGTGTAAAATAAATGAATGCGAAATTAAGATAAAATTTTGTATGTATTATAAAAATTATTCCTGGAAAATTGTTTAATTAAAATACTTTGGCGACAAAATATTACGAAAGTAGATATTTTAATTTTTTTTTTTTACTTTTTTGAGTTTTCATGGGGTAATCTGAACTTTACTCCCAGTGTTACACGCCTTAAACGACTCCGATCGGGACAAAATTTATATATCTTCGACTAGAGTAGTAACGATTTTGGGCATTAGATTAAAAAAAATCTATTTAAATTTCTTGAGTCTCCATAGAGGAGTCTGAGCTTTGCCCTCTATGCGACACGCCTGTTTCCAGCTGTCAAGAAAAACGAAAAATTCATATAAAATGACGTACAAGAAATTAAAAAGAAATTTTCGTGTATCAAAATTTCTCAAACCGGTTTGCATTTAAAACACAAAACTTCAACTGCTTCAAGCTGAACAGCCTGACCGGCACGTCACAAGTCATCTCTAATTTTATTGGGTTGTAATTGGTTTGTGGGGGACCCTCTAAATATTTGTACGCTGTCGTCTTCACTTCAATCGAAGTTCTTACTTCGTTTATTTTTAAACACTTCATCACTTTTTATTTATCAAAAACACGCCAATTTTTTGTTCTATAGAAATTTAGTATCAAAAGAAATTCAAGGCTACTGGCTTGTTTCATGAAAACACAATCAAAATTATTCGTTTAGCATTAAACTCATTAAAGAAAATTCAGTATTTAAAAAGCACCTGTTTTTAAATACTCCATTTTCCTGGAAAAAATATCCTGGAAATCTTGAAAACTAGTGCCAATTGCAGAAAACTATGGGTCTATGCTTTGGGTTAGATCAACAATGTTTCATCTAAAACTCACAATTTCTTAAGTGAAAGTGACCTAAGAATACAAAAAGGCTATTTTATATTTGAACAATGGTTTTTAACTTTTAAAGGGTTTTAGACCAAGGGTCATCGTGTAAAAAAAGGCCTTAGTCCTAATGAAGGCACTTACAATTTTATGAACACTAGAAAAACGGTGGAAACATTTAATTTTTTATTTCGGTATTTGACTTCACTTTATTTCCTGCTGGCAACAGCCCTGTTTATACCTAATACTTCATGCAAGTCAAAACTAGCACCTACACCGCAAAAACCGCGACCAGTCAGGAATTAGTCGTTAAGAAACATTACATGAATAGAATACTACGTTTGAACTCTTTATATAGAATCAACTGCCCTTTTATAACCGAACGATTATGAAACTATAAATTTTACCCTCGATGATTTTAGATACCAATCCCACGATGATACCACAATTACGAGTATCCATGCGGGGGTTTAGCAGTGAAATCTCGGAAATGAAGCAGCAGTTAGTAACATAGCAGGGGTAAACACAACTCATGTTTACGTCTGAGTCCTCAGCGTCGATTCACGTTTTTTTCTTCTTTACCAACAGATGAGACGTTCTAAAAAAATATCTTTTCAAACATCATGCAGGACCAGGTGACCCAAGTCATTTCTAAAGCAGCTAATTGTAAACATTCGATTTAGTCACTCTTTTCTTGTTGGGCAGAGAAAGATACCAATATCATTTACGTATCTAAACTAAATGATGGGAAAAATAGTTTGTGTGACCATGCCATAAACAAATCAAAAGAAAAAGGCAAATAGTCAAAAGACATAGCTATTCGTAATAGAAAACGAATGTCACAAAATTTCGAGTTTCATCTTGATGACTTGGATGACGAAGACATTTCTCACGATATTTAATACATCATACTTTTACTGTGAAGGGTGCAGGAAATCGAAGCAAAATTGGATCCATTAACAATAACCATTTATAATGGAATTAAAGATTGTTCGTCATAATTGTTTCAGTTGCATTCTCAAGAAATCTCTCTTGAGATCAACTAACAAATCTTGTAATGCTTTCAATCGAAAGTGTATTAGCTTCAACTTCAAGCTGCCAATAAAGAGACAAACGAGCTTTGTTTTCCTATCTAATTCTGAGAAGCCCGAAAAGACGCGTCAGCTCCAGCAGCTTTTTTGTTTTTCAACCGCGTAATTGCTATTCGTACCTCGTTATAGTCCGGCAGTGGAACATCGACTACGTCATAATCGACTGGGGGATCACGTTTGTCTTCTCCACGACTTTCAGTGCTGTTACCATTCCATAGGGTGGAAAGGTGTTCCCTCCATAATTTAGATATTTCCTAGAAATTGGTCACTAGGTGTACATGGTTTTTCTTACAGAAGTTCATTCGGGTCTGAAAACCTTTCGTAAGTCGCCTATTTCTCTGGTAAAATTTTCGGGCATTTTCCTTGTCGGACAGCATTTCAAGCACTTTGCTCTCCTGCATTCCGGTATCTCTCTTCTTATTGCGGAAAAAACGTATCGGTTCCCTCTTCAGTTCGCTGTATCGGTCCGACACAGCCCGCATTGCACCCGATCGTAGCGTGACCCTCTTGGCGGCACTTTTTTCTCTGCACCTTCGTGACATTCTTC